TAGGAATGTGACCATTTCTTCTCGATTGTCCAATTTTTGGCATATAATTGTTCGTGTATTTTCTTATAATCCTTTGTATTTCTTTGGAGTCCTTAGTTCTCTTTCATTTCTGATTTTATTATTTGGGTCCCCCTTTTTTTCTTGATAAGTCTCGTTAAAGATTTATCAGTTTTGTTTATCCTTTCAAAGAACCAGCTCTTGCTTTCATTGATCTTTTGTATTGTTTTTCTTGACTCTATTATGTTTATTTCTGGTCTGATCTTTATTATTTCTTTCCTTCTACTCACTTTAAGTTTTATTTACTGTTCTTCTTCCAGTTCTTTTAAGTATAAGTTTAGATTGTTTATTTGAACTTTTTCTTGTTTCTTGAGGTAGGCCTGTAGTGCTATGAATTTTCCTCTTAGGACTGCTTACGCTGTGTCCCACAGATTTAGAATCATTGTGTTTTCATTTTCATTTATCTCTAGGTATCTTTTGACTTCTTGCTTGATCCTATTGTTAACCCATTCATTATTTAGTAGCATGTTGTTTAGCCTCCATGTATTTGCATTTTCCAATTGTTTTCTTGTAGTTGATGTCTAGTTTCATACCATTGTGATCAGATGAGACACTTGATATGATTTCGACTTTCTTAAATTTATTGATACTTGTTTTGTGGCTGTGGTATATTCTGGAAAATGTTTCATGTGTACTTGAGAAGAATGCATATTCTGCTGCTTTAGGTAAAACACTCTGAAAATATTTATTAAATCCGTCTGGTCTAGCGAATCATTTAAAGCTGTTGTTTCCTTATTGCTTTTTTTTTTTTGCCTGGAAGAACTGTCCATTGGTGTCAATGGGGTGTTAAAGTCTCCTGCTGTGAGTGCTCCCCTGTCAATCTCTCCCTTTATGTTGATCTATAATTGCTTTATACATGTAAGTGCTCCTATGTTGAATGTGTATATGTTTACTAGGATTGTGTCCTCTTGTATTGATCCTTTTAATCATTTGTAATTCCTTTCTTTGTCTCTTATTAGAGTCTTTGTTTTAAAGTCTATTTTGTCTGATATAAGTCTTGCTACCCCAGCTTTTTAAAAAAATTTCCATTTGTACGAAATATCTTTTTCCATCCTTTTACTTTCAGTCTATGTGTGTCATTTGATCTGAAGTGGATCTCATGTAGACAACATATGTAAGGGTCTTGCTTTCTTATCTATTTGCTACTCTATGTCTTTTGATTGGAGCATTTAATCCATTTACATTTAAAATGATTATTGATAGGTATGTAGTTATTGCCATTTTATATTCATATTTATGGTTTTTTCCCCCCTTCTTCTTTTTATAGAAATCTCCTTAACTTTTCTTATAATTTTGGCTTGACTTTCTTTAGCTTTTTCTTGTCTGGGAAGCTCTTTATATCATCTTCATTTTTAATTGATAGCCTTGCTGGGTAGAGTAGTCTTGGTTGTAGGTCTTGTTTTTCATCACTTTTGTGCCAATATTTTGTGCCAATTCCTTCTGGCCTGCAAAGTTTCTGTTGAAAAATCACCAAACATTCTTATGGGAATACCTTTGTAAGTAAGTGCCCTTTCTCTTGCTGGTTTTAGGGATTACCTCTTTGTCTCAACCTTTGACATTTTAGTGATGATGTGTTTCATCACTGTACATTTTTTAACAAGATTGCTGAACAGTTAAAAGAGTAGAGAAGGCACACCCATTTCTTATTACCTTGCCATTGGAAGTGAAACTCATTACTATTTCTTGCATTCATCAAACAATTAAAGAGCTCTATCAGATTCAAGGGGAGTACCTACCTAGGTGGAGAGATGTGAGTATCTAGCAATTAGTTGTCAATTATTCTCTGGAGTAAGTATGGGAGATTGGGTCTGGAGAACAAGAAGTTGCAAATCATTAACATGCAATATAGGTTTCATATATCTAGGAACTTTTAAGTATTGTATAATAGCATGTTATAGTACTGTGGTAAATTTCTAATCTTATAGATTCTGTTAAATTTTACACTTCTTAGTTAAGAGATAGATGGTTTAAGTTTATTCTATAATTCTACTCTTATAGAATACTTTCTAACTTCGTTGTTCAAAAGTTTTGTTTTTTTTTCAAAATTTATATAGCCCTCCACCTTCCCTCCTTTAATATGTAGATGATAGAGAATATGAACAAAAAGAGAAGCTCTGTTCCTCCTTTAATTTGCTACTGCTTGCTCAAACATGAAAATAAGCCAAAATAAATTAAAAGTAAAAACTAAACAACCTCATTCCCACATGGGCAATTGTATATAGAATTATAGTTTTTGTTTTCTTAAAGGAATAATGTTTATACCAGAAATAAAATTTAATTAAGTTCAAGAAATCAAAAGGAAAGTCTATTTCCTATGTTAACGTTATTCAGCAGGGAAAAAAGATTAGGCTAGAAGAAAGACCTTGGTTCTAACAAACCCCGATATTTCATATCCACTTGGCTTTGACTTAAGCTTTATGAGCTTGGGTTTCCTTATGGAAGTAATGGGGATCACAATATCTGTTTCCTTTCTTTGTATGTTTATTTTAAGAATAAGAAAAAAAGTGTACATATGCACTCTTACAACTGAGAAAAGTAATATTTAAATATACAATGTTCTGAGAAAGAAAACTTCCATTTATTAGCATTTTATTTATCTTGAATTAACAGAACTTTAAAACATCCAGATATAGTATTCCATTTTACCAATTTGCCATGATATTTAACTTATTTTTAACAATAAATTTGATGTAAGAATAAAGTAGTTATTTTGGCCATTTCAGAGTCTTTTAAAATGCTACCTAAAAGTATTATAAAAATTATTGAAACATTGATAACAAGTCATTTTAGG